TATCTATCTATCTATCTATCTATCTATCTATCTATCTATCTATCTATCTATCTATCTATCTATCTATCTATCTATCTATGACAGCTCGGTAGGGGGCGCTGTGGAGCGGACGCGCCTCTGGTTGCACAAAGAAGAGCTAAAAGGCGCAGAGCAGCTGCGCGGCCTTCCTGTCTGCCCTCGCAGTTAAAGTCTGTTCGACGGTTTCGGTTCGGAGCCGATTTGGATTTTTTCTCCCCTGTGTTTTGAGTGGGTTTGAGTGTTTTTCCGGATAAATGAGGCCTCCAAACACGTCTCTGTTTGTCCGGAACATCTCCGATGAGTCCAGGTGAGTTTTCACAAGCAGCTTTAGGTGCGGGTTAACGGCAGCTAGCTGCGCGTTAGCTTAGCATCTAAAGATAGCCGCGTGCGCACAGACTAAAAATAAACTAGGGCGAATATAAGCAGAACACTGCTTTGTTTTTAGGCTCTTTCATTCAGTGAAACCGTGATTTAGCTTTTAATCACCTCTGTTTTTGTTCCCGCGAGTTTTGAGTTTTTGACAGAAAAATTGAACACGGTGACAGAAGCCGAAGAACAAAAGGTCTATGGAGGTTTGATGGTCAAAGTAACCTGAAATTCTACAGGAACGTTATTTAAACGACCGTATTAACGACCAGAAACCGACATTTTTTTTCTGTTTTTTAGATACTACAAATGTCTGCTACTCATCTTTTTCTTAATTGCTTGATCGCTATTGTTTACGCTTACGAGTCCTGATAGTCAACAGTAGTGAACCCAAACTAGGCCGCTAATGCTATGGCTAAAGCTAGTGATACACATTGTTATTTCTATTTTTTACTTTATATTAAAGCTTGAAATAAAGTGTAAAGGTTTTTTCTTCTAAATGTGAGAGTTTACCTTTCAATTATGTTGTAAGGGAAATTAAAGGATGGTAATCTAGAGGCTAAACGTTGATTTACAGTATTTACTTTATTCATACTAATGTGTTTGGGCTGCAGCTCTCTACTGTTTTAGTGTTAGATTAATCCAAATCTAAAGATATTTTGATTATTCTAAAATGACAGTAAATTATCTTCACAAATATTTGGATTAGAAAAAAACTTCCTGCATTTGAAATTATTGCAAATGGAAAAACATGTAAAAATAAATCCTTATATATAATGAGAGAGAGATATAATTACATTTTTAATGGAAAATAGTTCATATACTATTATATTTGTACAAGTTTGGTCCTAATTTCTGTTGTCAGTAGGTTTTTGTTTTTCAGCAAACAGCATTTCCATAAAAGGTTGCAAACAGCATGTTTTACATGTTTGACAATCGACTAGTTCTGTAATTGAATCATCAGAGTCATGGCAAACATTCAGCCTAATCCCTCTAAATTATACTTCACTGCTTTGTCAGGTTTCAGTTTGAAGTTTTAAAAGTTTTAACAGGCAACTTGTAGTGCAGCAGACATGTCTGCATTCATTGCTTCGATGTAACTTGTTGCATTTTCACAGAGGGGTGTGGAGATGGATTTGCAAGGAGCTTTTTGGTTTACAATCGACACCTGATGGTTTTATCAGGCGGTTACCAGAGTGTTCAATAACTACTGGTAATGTTTAGTCTTTGAGGAAGGAAGGGGGCAAATGATACATTTGGATCGGAAGTTGGAGAAACGCACAAAATTTAGTACCTGAAAGGTTGACCAGTTTGAAATTTTTATGGTTTCAATTCGGAGGTTTTCTCAATTAAGGAAGTTGTTTTTTACACATAGAGTCTTTATTCTTTGAATCCCAGTTGTAGATTTTTTTCAATTCATAATAAATCAATGCAGGTGCAGATGTTTCAGCTCCTTGCAAAGTTCGTCATTTACACCCTTGCTGCTGCTCTATTAGAGCTAAAACTGGAGGGAGTTTTTTTATTTTATTTATTTATATAGTATATGTT